CGGGCACAGGCAGCCCCCACAGCCAAGCCTTGTCTAACGCGTCTCTCGCGCCACACGGGATACAAGGCCACAGACCATGACTGTCGTAATACCCCCACATACGCAGCAGGAGCCTGTGCAGGCCGCAAGAGCAACGTGAACAAATATTCCTTCCGATCGCTGAAGGCAGCGCGACCCTCCGAGGTCTGGCGGGCCACCCCAGCACCAAGCAAAGCTCCAGAATATCGGCACCACAGCATTTGCGACGGAGAAGCTTCACGTCAGGTTGGTGTTGCGGCGCCGGCCTCGCTCTGTCCGGCGGGTCTCGCAGGGATTAGCGCCGGAGAGGCCGTGATATACAAAATCCCGCGACACAATGATATACGCCCAAAGATGCACCACCGTGAGCATGTTAAGATGAGCTGAGTTAAAGATCGGAGGTGGGCTCCCGAGAAACAGATCGTCTAGGCCGAGGATAGATATTGGACCGAAGCGTGTGAATACTTTTGACAACGGGCGCAAGGAACACAGCCAGTCATCAAGCTTAGGCCTCCGAAAATGTTGGAATCGGAGCCGTAGTTCCTCGCCCAGATGGTGAGACAAACGTCGCCAGGCGAATCTTTGGGAGCAACTATTACATCCAGCATTCGTTCCCACTTGTTGACAGAGAACAGGTACCGGAAGATTATCTGTGGGTAGGGCCTTCCGTGCGGGGTCTTTCGAGTGGCGGCACAGCAAGATTGTGGTGGGTATCTAAACTCAAGCTGACACGAGAGTGAATGCAAGGGGTTGCACTGGATCCCGAGCGAGAAGGGGCTGTGACTGCCGGCGATGTCCGGCTTTTTAGCAGACGCACGTTCGTGGACTTCGAGTCTGGCGCGAGAAACACGAAGAGCTAAGAAGAAACTCTAATGGGCGGTGGTGACGAAAGGCCGACAAGTTGGTCATGAGCGAGCAGGACGAGCGCGGCGGGAGGACAGAGTTTGGAATCGGTTTGGGAATGGAAAATGATGGGCCACGTGGAGCCTTTGTGGCGTACTGTTAGCCGCCCTCCAATCGGCCAACCGTGTATTCTGGGCTCAACAGTATTGTTGTAGCATAATATGGGGCCTCAAATATATCAATAGTATTCATTTCTATATGAATGTATAATATGATTAAGATCAGTCCAAGGGGACTTGAGCTATGCGTGCATTACTGCACCGAAATAGCCAGGATGCCTAAATTTGGTAGCGCGCCAGACCCTCCCCCTCTCATTGACGACCATTCTTTCCACCCCATCACCATCTCCACCCTGTACAGCTGCATTTATTATCAATATTATGGTATATAATACTGCCTCCCAACTTTTTGCAGTCTAATTCCGCCTCCAGGGTTCTCTGGTCACGGCTTGGGCGGTTCTGGAGATGTCCAAGGAAAAGGACATCGCCACTTGCGACAAAGGGTTGGGGGCACAGGGAACACATGGTATGGCTTCTGTATATGTTATAATTTACTTCTCCCGCGCTCTCTTAATTTTATCATTTTTTGTTGTGTGCCAAAGGCACATCTCTGCTGACCTGCTATTTTCATGCCTGCACAGAACTTTGTGCCATAGAAACGGAACAGGCAGCTTTCCCAACATTTATCTACACCCAGAACCCGCCCCTACCTATATTTAATGTAATACATGTGTTTTATTCCTAATCTGCGCTGTGCAACGACTGTGGAAGGCCGGCGGCTCGGCCAAATCTAAGCGCCCTGCTTGAGCACTGCGTGCGCCTGGCCGGCTGCCAAGTGCTGTTTCTGCAGTCTTCTCACCAAAATATTTATAGTGCCTATAGCAACAATGGAAAAATTTTACCGCTTGGTAGAATAATATTTTATATTCATTCCAGTGGATCCGAGGTGTAGCATTTTCCTTATCTCCATGCATTTACGAGTATGGAGCAAAATGCCGTAGCCTGGCCGACTTCGGGGCACGTGACAGTAGCTCGTGACGCGCCTGGGTATCGGCAGGACGACGCGTAAATGCAGCCGCATTACAATGCATTGTGGCTACTATTGATTGCATATATGTATGCCCTTTAATTGTCATAGAAGACTGCTCACGGAGGCGGATGGGGCCTACGGGGCAGTACATTAGTCTCGGTTCCAGACATTCTAGGGCCCCATTATTAGTACTGTAAACCATGTAACAAGCGGAGTTTGAATCGGCATGCAGAGACGGTGCCGGAATTGTTCTGCAGCTCAATTGGTAACAATCCGTTGACAGATATTCATTCCCTCCCTTACTGCGACTATTTGATGATTACTTACTGACCACACCCAGTCCGGTCTCTGCGAACATCTACCAGAAGAGAGGCAGCGAGATTGCAGTACATAGGCAGAGACTCTCTTATTAACATGTTGTTTCTTCGCCTGTCTCAATAGCACGAGAGCCCTCCTTCTGTGCGTTGCAGCTGCAAACTTTATCTTCCATGCTTCAGCGGACTATGGCGCGCTGGAAGGATCGCTTGCCAATCGTGCCAATGCATACAGGATCCAAGACGGCGTACGTATCCGATTGGGCTTGCGAAGCGCACTAAGACGCCCGGAGAGAATGGGACGGGCACAGAGCTCATTAGCACCGCTCTCATATATCAGCCCAAGTTTCATTTAGACGGATGAATGCATCATGCGGAGGCAATGTAGAATCAAAGCACCGGATAACGGACCATCACATGGAAACGCCACAAAGTTGCCAAGCGGCAGTGCAAGCGCAGCCATCGTGACTTTTCAGGACGCATTTCGAGGCGATTACACAGGCTGTAATAATCTTTCAATATTTCAGAATCGGATTGGCGGTCGTCCGTGGCGGGGTAGGTGGAGTCCAACATTAGCACATGACTCAAAGGTTCACAGGCGGTCTTATCGCGTCCCAGCACTGACGTCTCCGATGCATGGATGCACCATAAACTCAATTAATCTACAAAGTTGGCTTCGCCGCTCCATGTAGCTCTTGGTTCATACCCAAGTTGTTCCATTCGCCGTATGACAGACATGTGAAAATTCGGCCTGACGTCCGGTATACGGCGACCTCTTCCTTGATGACGCTCACTGGATTACAACATCAGCATCATCCAATCGCGCGCAACAGCCGGAAACGTGCTCTTACTCGAATGTTATGTACCCCATTTGCTTGTGCGGCAGAGGTACGCGCTCGAGCAGGTTCCACCAGCGCGACCCCTGGGGTCCCAGCTCGTCGTGTATATTGGCACAAACGTCGGTATCTTCAAGCGGGGGTCTGTACCCAGGCACTGTAGAGTAGACTCCTTTCTCGCTCAGTCGTTCTGCATCGAACAACACGCCGCATTGGGCTGCGAGAACTTCGCACACCATCCACCTCAGGGAAATATTCCCCAGGTTGTGAGGCTCAATGTCCAGCACAGATCCGCCGCCAACATCTGGGAATGCAGAGGCAGGCACGGTAAGCCTCAATAAGGTTGCGACCTCTCGTGGGCCTGCTATACATACCGCCGTGACACCCCGGAAACCAGACCTCCAGGACGTCTGTCACTGGCTTTGTAGTCGTCGGGACCTTACTTGCCGGGGCCGTACGTTGTATTTCCTGGTTAGTAGGATTGCGCATTCTGCCACTGGGTTTGAAGAACACTCGGCGCTATCAACATGATCAGCGAAGTGGCCAAGCAGCTACCGGTCGCTCAACAGACGCACCTCGTCCAAAGCAAGCGCGTGCCGGAAGACTCTGATGCTGTTGTTCGAGCTTGTGAATGGCAGTGTCTTGTGTCGCACCATGCCCACGCTCGATACTGTCTCCCTGAACCAGAGTCAGCTTTTGGTTGAAAGCGCCCTCGCTTCACTGAACGCACCAAACGCCAATAAATTCGATGTCAACCGGCGTCCCAAACGTCTCCTTGAAACCTTTGGCAAGTATATTACTATCCTCGTCTTCACGCTCATAGAGCTCGTAAGCGAACGGGACCTGCTCATCGTTCCCCTTGCACAACAAACCAATCTGCAAGGATGACGTTAAGTTTGACTGACGCCGGCTGCGTGAGAAGGGCAGGATCCAAACCTTGTTCAGCATCCCGGCGAGCGCGCGCGCCGTGTATGCACCTCGAGAGAAGCCTGCGAGTCTTTGTCATGCTACGATGACATCGACTTGTAAGGGCAGGCGCACCGAAAAGACAGACCCTGTCGCCTGCCTGGTAGTTCTCCATCAGAAACTTGTAGCCCCCATATACATGCTCGTAGAGATACCTGCGGGAACATGCGTCAGCCATGCCGGCGAAACGAAGGGCACTCTGCCTCACCAAGCGATGGCCTGGTCAAGGAACTTTGCCCCCCATTGCAGAAAGTGCGATACTACGCCCGGCTTCATGTACGTCCCTATTCCGGGCTGCAGGCCAGAATTGATAAGCTTGTTTGGTAAACGTGCCATGTGCACTGGCCTGATAATAACATAGTTGTTCGTCGGTGTCTCTTCGTAACAGCTTGAAGAAGTGGACAACATTCGTGTTCTGCGGACAACGATCAACGACTGTTCATGCCAACCTCGAATGTGAAACGTACGTCTCCGTCGAAGGCACTCGACGTCCCATCGAAGCATAGCACAAGTGTACGACCTATCTCTCCATTCAGTCGAGTGTCCGAACGCAAATAATTTGGACGAACCAGAGGTTGTCGATAGGCGCCTCGCCGAAGATAGCTGGCCCCGGCAGAGATGAGCTCGAAGGATGGCGAGCTGTTTCGTGACGCAGCGTCGCGAGATCAAGTGTGCTGCCATGGGGCGGACGAAGGCAGGCAGCAGGCCTTCCTCGACATTTTAAAGACGAGTGATCTGCCACACACGCACCGTAGTATCAGGCTTCTCCCGAAGGAGAACCCTAGCCTTGACTTCCCTGCCTGCCAACTGATCCATATCGTACGGAATAGATGGTTACCTGCTTATAAACGGGACGAATTCACGCTTTGACAGATGCGCCAGGGCCGGTGCCTCATGGACCGCGCGGTTCGCTGCAAGCATTCCATTGTCTTCGGGGGATATATATATAAATACTGTACAGACGCGCTTTGGGTCCAGTCGTGGGAGAATCAAGCATCCGGGATCTTGACGAAGGCTCCAGCGCACATGGCTTTGTAACTCTCCTCGGTGAACGGCTGGTACCTATGCTTGAAATACGGCTCCACTCTGTCAACGGGCGTTAGCAAGCGTCAAAGACAGGCGGAGGAGATGCCGCTTACGCGGGGGGAACATCGATGTAACCACGGCAGTGCGTGAACGTGTCGAAGCTGTACTTGCCAAAGTAGCTGCCGTCTGAAGCGGGGAAGTCAGTGGTTCGAAGGTTACCGCGCAATGCGCACCACGCGTGCACGTACAGCCAGAAGCGCCGATCCCTCCGAAGGGCATTTCGTAAACTGCGAATGCGATGGGTAAGAATGTAGGACTACCGCAGCCAAAAAGAGACATACTGGCAAGTTGTATGAGTGTGTCGTTGAGCACCAGTGAGCCACTGTTGGTCTGGTTGCGGACTGAGTGGGGGATGATGGAGTCAGCGCATGATCAAGAAAGACACACGATAGCATACTTTTCTCCTTTATCTCTTCTTCGTTTGTGAAGGCGTATAGCACGAGAGGATGAGGGCTATCATGAAAGTTCTAGAATGTGGACGGCCATAGGGACGGCCAAACGGAACTCACCGAGCTGCGACAATGCGAATCGCTTCGTCAACGTCATCAACCTCAACGACAGCTAACACAGGCCCGAATACCTCACTATTCGTGACCGCTGTCAGAAGAGAATACTGCCGGGTGAACATGGCAGAAACTTACTCTTCCATCAATATATCGTCCAGCTTGACGTCTGCGACGACTGTATTGGAGATCCGACGCGTTACAGGGTCGCTGCGGCCACCGATTATAACTTTGCCCTTCGTTTCTTTGATCAATCGCTCAAGGCGATCATAGTGGTGTTCATTAACTATTTTTCCCCACGTCGAGTCGGGACGAAGAGGATCGAGCGGGAAGCAGACTGCATGTGCCTTCTTCATACCCTCGTAGAATGCCGGAGCGACGGACCGCGGTACCAGCGCATAGTCAGGGGCGACGCAGACCTGGACGCACAGAATCAGCATGAATGATTGAGCAGTTGGGATGTTACGCGCCTGGCCAGTGTTCAGTAGCTTTCCGTACAGCATCCTCTTCGCCACGAGCTCCATGTCGCACTCGGGGCTGACGATGACCGGACTCTTGCTCCCGAGTTCGAGCGTGAGTGGCGTCACAAACTTCGCGGCCGCCGCGGCGATCTTGCGCCCGTTGTGGATCCCTCCCGTGAAGAAAATATGGCCCCACGGGAAATCAAGCAAAGCGGTGGCTTGGGGAACTGCACCTTGAACTACAACATAAGCCTGCGTATCGAGATATTGTGGTATCAGAGATGCAAGAAGCGCGGAAGACGCAGGAGCGTGCTCTGACGGCTTGAGAACAGCGGGACAGCCGGCAGCAATGCAGCCGACTAAAGGGAGGAAGGTAATAACGACGGGATGGTTCCAAGGGCTACCAAAAACTTGAGCAAGTGATGAGCGGCAGCTTGAAGAGAGACCTACAGGATGAATAACGCGACACCTTTGGGAACATGATAAATTGTAGTGTCCCATGAGCCCCGCCATTCTTCGACCTTGGGCTTCTCGGGCCTCGTCCACTCTTCAAGGTTGTTCATAGCGTTGAGACATGCCTGGATGGCCGGAGCGGTCTCCGGGCCTGTGGTGTCCTGGCGTTCTCTCCCAAGATCCTCGATCATGGCGTCCTCGAGGGCAACGACATTGTCCTGGAGCATGCGGGCGAGCTGAATGAGCTGGCGCCGACGATAGGCCAGCGGCCTGGTGACTCCAGATTGGAAGTACTCGTGGACACGCGCATGTATCTGACAAGAAGATGTCGTGAGCGTTGCTACATGCACCATACGCTGGCGCGCAGTACCTTAGGAATCTCGGAAAGTGCTGTATAGTGGGCTTCCACAGACATTGCAAGTTTGTTCGAGGTCCAGAGGAACACCGGCGATGCACGTCAACGCCAGCACGTCTATCCTAAGATTTTATAGGAAAGTCTCTGAGACAATCATGGGAGTCCGACTTCGACTTCTTAATGGGCGCACTGCCTGAAACACGGCGCATGCTGAGCGCTGGGGCCCAAGGCCTGAGACCTGGTCTGAGGTCTGACTCACTGAGGCCTGACACACCAGAGAAATTTGGAACAGGGCATCTAGAGTCAGCTCACGCGATCGTGTTCCTCAGATACCGGCCCGCTCATCGTTTCAGTAGTGCTCAGTACCGTCAGGTCAGCCTCGCCAGCCCGCTACGTCCATAGCACCATTCTTTTGGCCCACCAAATGGTCTCTGCCCCTCAATCACCGAACGAAGCATACCATTGCAGCGCAACTTGGCGGCGATGGAATGAATCCATGGCACCATACGGTCTCGGTTACGGGTTATACGAGTGGCAAATGGTTAGTGGGAGGTATGTCCATTGACTCTACCGTTCAGGCTTGCCATCGTATTAGGGTGTACAAAAAGGATCGTTGTATTGATGAATATATTCTAGTATAATTTCCTATTTTGTTCGAATTTTTATTTTGCCTCGGGCTAGGCTCGAACCTAGGCACCCGACGTCTGGGCTAGTGTTCCCTGCAAAACTCTTAGGTTTCTTCCCTACTAGTTAATAACTAGGTAAGTAACTAGTTACTTACATGGAAGTTACTATGGGTAGTTACTGTTAAAGTGCGACTGAACTCTTGCTTTATTCTGTGCTACAGGGCCAGTATATATACATGTGAGTCAGGACCTCTGATACCGCTATAGGACCTGTGGTACTGTGAGTGTAAGCATGTATACTAAGCATGAGTAATCAGATATTGTATTACTACAAGATAATAGAGGGATCATGTGATGATATCCCCATTAGTCCGTACAGGGCAATAACAAAATCGCCCAGTTCTGACACTCCCACTCGACTAGTTATTGCCTAATCTACTGAAGACCAAGCCTAGCATAGACCGGAAATGCTCGAATTTTGTTGCACCAAGTGGTTTCGTTAACGTGTCGGCGATCATTTCGTCCGTACTAACGTAGACTATATCCACTCGTTTTTCTTCTACGTATTCGCGTATGAAGTGATATCGAATGTCGACGTGCTTGAGCCTTTGGTCATGAGCGGGATTGACTGTGAGAAAGATTCCTCCTTGGTTGTCTGCTACCAAAGGTGGTGGTGCAGTAGGAAAGTAACCTAACTCTTTTTGGAGTGACGTCAGCCAGGCTAGCTCAGAGCATGCCTCCGAAAGTGCCATGTATTCAGCTTCCGTCGAGGATCTTGCCACCGTCTTCTGCATCCGAGATGCCCATGTGACTGCTCCATCAGCCATCAAGAAAACGAAACCGGTTGTTGATCGCCGGTTATCCCAATTTTTGCCCCAGTCTGCGTCTGAATACCCTATCAAACCGGACTGATTTGAGCCAGAGTACCGGATACGATACTCGGTGGTATGACGGAGATACCAGAAGATGTGCTTCGCGGCTTCCACGTGCTGTGACATAGGGTTTTGCATGTATTGTGAGAGTCATGTGACTTCCCAG